TTTGTTAAAGTGATTGCTGGATTTTTCATATTACACAGTTTATAAGTAGTTTCATATTTACAGTATCTTTAGAACTGTCATATGTTCTAAAATTTATAAGGGGATATCAAATTCTGTGAAGAGCCATGTCGGTCTGTGGTTTACACAGCGATGGATCCTGCAACAGTGCAGCCATTTCTCACAGTGTGTGTCTGTGTGTCAGTATATGCTCACGTTGATCACATCCTGGTGAACATAGTGACTTTGCTGTAATTTGTCGGTGTTCCAGGGAGAGGGAGATAATCCTTCCTTTACTCTCTTCCCCTCACTTCCTCATGATTTCTCTCTCTCTCTCTCTCTCTCTGACCAATTCACCTGCATGTACTAAAAAGGTTTAGGCCAGGATTTATTGATGTCAGTTTTCTTGTTTGTCTCTCTCCAGCATTTCAAGCTTTTGGTTGAAGAGCTTCATGTGAAAGGAGAGGGCAAAGTGAAATATGCAATGAAGGAATCTTTTAAGATTCTCAATGAGGTACAGTATGTCCCAACTTTGCAACAACCATAGTGACTGTTACAAACAATATGCTAAATCACAGGCGAGGAGGAAAGTGAGAACGACACAATCCATAGGTCTGTAAGTGCCTTAAGTACAACGTCTCAGGATTGAATACCTTGTGTATGTCCTTGTGTCTTAAGGCTGCTGCACTGGGCCAAGGCAGCCTGTGTAACCAGGCCATCATGCTGATTACAGATGGAGCCATGGAGGACTTCCAGGATGTCTTTAAAGAGTTCAACTGGCCAGAACGGAGGGTATGGCATGCACTCTCACACGCAAGCATGAATAAAAGAAGGCACCAGTGAGATGTACTGTGAATGCACTAAAACACCATGCTAGGTGGTTATTTGGTGATCAATTTGATGGGATTTATTACATCATACTATATAATCTATTTGATTTTCTCTCCAGGTTCGAGTGTTCACCTATTTAATTGGACGCGAGATGACATTTGCTGAAAATGTCAAATGGATCGCCTGCAACAACAAGGGTACAAACAGAGTGCTTTTATCCTTTTTGTTTTTCTTCTACAGATGAAACCTTCACAATCCACATAGAGAAGCTAAGTCTTATCAGCAAGAAGAGAAATACACGTGAAATCTTCTGCAAAAATCAGTTGTGTGCCTAATTCTGAAATTAAACTGTGTTCCTGTCTGATTCTTAGCTCAGATAAAAGGTCTCTTTGCTCCTGCAGCTGATGTAAGTAGGTATCAGGTGCTGCCCTCTTGTGAATTACATGGGGTCATGCAGCAGCTCAGGCCTGAATATAATCACTTTATCCTGCTCTGAGCACATCAAAAGCCTCGACTAAATACCTGATTATCAGCACAGATACACTGTAAACACATTCCTGGCCAAATAATATCATATCTGTGTGTGTGTAATGGGTAACAGGTGCACTCCCTTCTGTTGTGCACACTGGCAGTCACCTCTGCCAACAACAAAATGTCATAAACAGACAAACATGCTTAATGTTGCACTCATCCAAAACCTCTCTATATGCAGTTTTGGTTATATAAGTAAGTCTTTATAATAATAATGATAACAGTAATAATAATAACAGCTCTACTTTCTCTTGAGGTGTTTTTACAAAGGGGGAACGGGTGTTGAATATTCTTGAATTCAATATCTGGCAGTGCTTCAGTCGCCTGTTGTATCTCTGAGCAGCTTCACTGCAGGTATCCCATTGACGTCACTGTCTTCCACTTGTAGAAATGCCATGAATCTAAGACTAAACCAGGCTTTAAAGAACATCAAAAGCACAGTCGCATTAACGGGACATTAAAGCTGTGTATTTTATTTTGTTTTTTTCATTTCAAAAAACAGCTTAGTGTCTTTTGGGACCACAATATTTTCTGATGCCTGATAAATAAACATTTTGCTCTTGAAATAATCCTGGAGGCAGAAAGATTAATAATAATGTGGTGAATACTTTGTTTGCTGAGTCCTGGGTTTTTCCATCAGTGTGGTGTGTGTGTGTTTCCTGCAGGTTACTACACACACGTCTCCACACTGGCTGACGTGCAGGAAAACGTTATGGAGTACCTCCATGTTCTCAGTCGGCCTATGGTCATCAACCATGATCATGACATCATATGGACCGAGGCCTACATGGACAGTGTGGTGAGTCTATTGTGTTCTACTATCAAGTACTTAGCAGGTGACCGAGCAACCACCTAGTACTGACACATTAACAGCAGAGAACAGTCAGTTTATCTAATCTACCTGGAAACATCATGCTACACACCAGTGCTGGATGAAGTACTCAAACATTTTACTAAAGCAAAAGTACAAATAAATAGACAAGTAAGAATTAAAGTACCACATTAACTTTTCTACTTAGTAAAAGTACTTAATGTACTTCACCGGTGTTTGAACATATAACACAATGCAGCGTAGAAATGAAGTGGCGTACAAAGTAGAGATACTTTCTGATATATGAACAAATTACAAATAAATGGACTTGCACACAACAAAGTGTGTTGAGTCCCACTGCTACACATGCATAAAGGTAAACCAGAACATAGGAAGTATTTAGCAGCCAGTGAAATGACTTGGAGAAAGTAATCAATTACTAGTAACTAATGACTTAATTCTCTAGCTCTTCATCTTCACCGTGTGTGTTGTATCTTTTCACCATCATCTCATTCCTCTTGTTGTCTTTCCTCCATCTCCATCTTCAGTTCCCAACCACAGAAAAGGTAATGGCACCCAGGGCTTCATAACTAGACATGCTTTTCTAATGTTAGCCATATAATACAGTTTGTTGTACATGTAATGTCTTCCTTAGCCTCATGTTTACTATCAACTACAAACAGTTCGGGGTGTTTTTTTATTAGTTTCTATCTTTTCACCATTAGCTTCAAATGCTAAAGTTAGCCTAGCTGATCCTCTAGTAAGCCTAATTTACCCTTCCTTCGTTTTCAACCTAACACTGCTAATGTGCTGTTTTGTCATTAGCGCCTATCTTTTAATTTGATTTCAGAGTTTAGAACATTGTCTTTACTACTTTACCTTTTATTTAACTCATTTTACTGGAGTATATTTTTATCTTTTAGCTAACGATGCTTAGCCTCACTTTTCGTTCCTTTTGAAATGTTAGCTTGAAATTAGACCTTTGTAAAATGTTAGCTTGATGTACCTTTACATTGTTTATCAAGCTTGAGTTTATATGTAGCCAACCAAATGAAATTTCTTGATTAGTATTTTTGCTAACAGCTAACAGTTTCTAGTGGTTCAAGTTGATTATGGTTAATCTTGCTTCAACCATTAGCTTCGATTGCTAAAGTTAGCTTAGCTCATCCTCTAGTAACCCAGACTAGTTTTTCAGTCAACCCCTGAAGGGTAACATGTTGCTTCCTAGCTTTCAATTTCATTTCATAGTTTTAAAAGTTGTCTTCATCTTATTTAGCTAATTTAGCACAGTTTTCAATTTATTAGCAAACATTTTCCACCATTTGTAAAATGTTAGCTTCATTTCACCTTCATTTTTACTTTGACGCATCATATTTCATCTGCAGGCTGAATTTAGACCTGTGTGTTTTTGTGTGTCCCAGCTGTTCAATACTCAGGCCCAAAGCCTGCTGCTGATGACCTCAGTGGCCATGCCTGTGTTCAGCAAGAAGCAAGAGACTGTAAGTTATCATCATTAACACTCAACAAACTTCACATCACTGTGTCAATATGTGTAAGAGAGAGCTCATCTTCACAAGACAATCAGAATATGAACCTGCTGTATGTGTCCTGTAGTTGTCTCACGGGATTCTGCTGGGAGTGGTGGGAACTGACGTGGCCCTAAGAGAACTGATGAGATTAGCTCCTAGATACAAGGTAAACCATCTGCAGAGTACAGACCACCGTGTCATAGCACAAACAAAGCTGGAACACACACTGTGCTGATTCTATAGTGTATGCAATTTATTTTTTATCTTTCAGTTGGGTGTCCATGGTTACGCCTACCTCATCACTAACAATGGCTACATCCTGTCTCACCCTGACCTACGGCCTTTGGTACAGACAAATATTGTGTTATACAATGAATTATTGCGGCTGACAAACTGTTGTGTCTCTGCTCTATTAATATGATTCACCATGCGTGTTAAAATACACATATTTACAAAATATTTATTAAGCTGATTGTGCATCTGCATATGTGTGTGACAGTATAAGGAGGGGAAGAAGTTAAAGCCAAAACCCAACTACAACAGTGTTGATCTGTCAGAGGTGGAGTGGGAAGACACTGAGGAGAAAGTGAGAAACACACACGTTTATATACATTTTCAAATGTCTTCTTTTTACTGTATTTACTGTGGATGAGGATTTATAGTACACTATAATGTAACTCTGAACGTGCTGTGTATGTGATATCTTTGTTTTAGCTGAGGACAGCCATGGTAAAAGGAGAAACTGGAACATTATCTATAGACGTGAGAACGTCAGTGGATAAAGGCGTAAGTACTCTTGTGTTTATGAGTGGGTCTGTGTGTTTGAGGAGAACAAGATGAGATCTTAAATATTAAATCAGACATTTGATTTTCCCCTTCTTCCTCCTCTGGGATTTTACTGTTCATTTTTTATGCAATCCAAGTTTTGTTTCCTTATTTTGCTCATGTTTTATTTATGTTATTAGTCCTTTTGTATTTTTTTTATATTATCTGTACACGCAATCTATTTTCTCTGCTGTTACTATCCTTTTAATGAACTCTGTTTCTCTCTTTATTTCTCACAGACGAGAGTGATGTTCTTGAAGAATGATTACTTTCACACCGTCCTCAATGAGACGCCATTTAGGTTTGTCTGATTGCTTTTAGCAGGATTAGTGTGTTATG